GTTTCAATTGGAATAGTAACATTTAATCATTATAAATGAAAGTGTTTTCTTAATATGATTCAATAAAATATAAGTTCCATTTCAAATACGAAATTAAACAGCAATTTTGAATAGTTTCACAATACTTTTGGGAACGAAAAATTTGGGATAACAATGTGATAATTAAAATTTGTAACTTGTAGAACTGAAATAATTAATTAAATAAAGAAATAAAGTTAAAATTTTTTTGAGATTTGTGTAAATTTGTAAGGTAAAGATTTGCAAGTTCACGTTTGAATAGAACGAAATATGTTTCATAACGACAATGGATAATCAGGTGAAAAAAATGCATGCAACTTACCGGAATATACACGTTACTGTTGCCACTTCAAACGTCCTAAACTGCGCTGCTTCCACTGGACACTACGTGAAAAACATGAAAAAATTATTTGATCTGAGAGGCAATTTGAGACAAGGACATAACTAAAAATAAAATACAGGAAGTTGAATTATAAAATTTTAGGGAAATTCAGCAGGAATATAAAAAAATTACAATACTAACAATAGCAAAGTCTAAAATATAGAAACATAAAAACAAAAGTTAATGCACTCCTACCGAAGCAAACTTGCTAATAAAGAAATTAAGTTTAAAATTTGAAAATAAATAGATAAATTGTTTCTGATTAAACTGTAAATATTTGGTCAATTTTCTAGGTCCGGACCTGCAGTGCTAGTTGTTGTCTAAGACAATAACTACCACCAAAACGAATGGCGGTTAAAAAAAGCGGGAAACATTAATGCTGACGAAATGTGCCCTGAGATATGAAAGGAACTGGTCGTTTGAGGTACATTGATGAGCGAAAACTCTATTTAATGTTGGCGAATAAACAAATATGTTCATCGATCTCATAGAATAAAAGAAATCATTCGTTAACAGGGATAATAAATATAAAAGCATAATTAAAGCAACACTGAGATCAAAAAGAGGGAAATAGTTAAGTAGCCCTAAAGCAAAGTTAAAGAATTATTTAATAGCTAAAAGTTCAATAGCTTACCAAGCTAAATCTGTTTTAATCACTTTCTCACAAATAACCGCCAAAGGTCGTGAATTTCAACGCGCTCGTATCAACCATCCGTTCAAAAGCTGCGACAAGACTGGCCACGCTATTGGCCTTGGCCAGTTCGCACCGATTTGAGAAGCATACGCGCTCCGCCGGTAAAAGTAGTTCCAGAATGCGCAGCTTATCAAAATCAAA